ATAGAGAGAGGGGGAGAGAGAGAGAGAGAGAGAGAGAGAGAGAGAGAGGTGGAGAGAAAGGGAGGGGAAAAGAGAGGGGAAGAGGGAGGGGAGGATAGAGGAGAGGAAGGGAGATGGAAGAAAGAGGGGGAAGGGATGGGGAGATAGAGAGAGAAAGGAAGAGATGGAAAGGAAAGAGGGATATTAAGAGACAGATAAAAACAAATAATTAAGAAAATAGAAAGAGCGATGTGTGTGAGGGATGGGGAGAAGAACATGCTTCGGTTACTGATAAAATATACAACAAATGTCCTGATTGCAGGCAGAGAGAAGACCGCGACACATCCCACACAAATGAAAGAGAGTCGGTGTGTCAGGCCAGTATGGCAGTGTATGTCAGGGGAATCGCAGCACGGCGAGTTTGTCTTTGTTACAGACGTTCTTCCTTGTGTAGGTGGCTGGTGATGGTTTGTTCGGTGTGATTACAAGAGTGACAGTATTGCAGGGACGGCAAATTCCCCGCGTTTTACCTTTCGTGTCTTGCATGATGATGGAACTGTACTTTAGGAAGGTGATGAGCAGGTTGCTAGTTTGTACGTCGGCATCGAGTTCCGTGGGGCTGATCACTGCAGAGAACACAACATTATCATTCACATTTTCAGGAGTCCCTTGTCATGAGTTCTCCTGCCACATCCCCTGCATCCCAGGTACAATAAACAATACTTAGTTACCAGCAGTTAGATCTTCCATCCCTTTGCTGCTTACTTATTCCCCAAATCACATTGCATATCAAGCTGGTATGTGAATCATCACTGTACACTGTGATGTGCCTAAGGCTGGGTACTAAGCTATAATGGTGGGGGGGGGATCTTTGCATGCAATGCTAGCTAAGCCAGAATAGAACATGTTAAAATACATGTAAACCCTCATTGACATTGTATTTGCTAAAGTGCTGTGCATCCTCAACAGTTGCCTTTTTTTTATTATTAAATGCTGCCTTTTCCCCCTTTGTTGCATCTCACAGTGCTGCAGATCCTGTGCAACCTCCTTACAGCCACTTGCTGTCTGCATGCACACCACCGACAGCTACATGGCAATTTTCAGGGAGGGTTTCCTAATGGTGACCAAGACTCTGTGATGTGTGTTAAAATAGCCATCAGCTGTCCGCGTGACAACACAGCACCACAAGTGAGAGGAGGAACAGAGTGTTGTCACAAGATAACAGGTAGTGTCTGAACAAGGACCGTCATGGCAGGATCACCAGGGATTATTTTGGAGATGCATCGATACAGAGTATTTGGGCAAGTACTCGTACTCGCCCAAATGCTCTGATGCCTAGCCCTATACTTCCAGTATCAGGAAGCCGGGCAGCGCGTCATTACACGCTGCCCAACTGCCTTATTGGCCGGGAAGCCGGCTCTATGCTCCCTCATCACTTGTGACGAGGGAGCATGGAGCCGGCTTCCCAGCCAATCAGGAAACCGGGCCGTGTGTAATGACTCACTGCCCGACTTCCTGATTGGTCGGGAAGCTGGCCAATCAGGAAGCCGAGCGCCATGTAATGACGCGGCACCTGGCTTTCTGATTGGCCGGGAAGCCGACTTCATGCTCCCTCGTCACCTCATGACGAGGGAGAATGGAGACGGCTTCCCGGCAAATCAGGAAGCCAGACATCGCGTCATTACACGGCGCCTGGATTCCCGATTGGCCAGAAAGCCGGCTCCATGCATTCTCGTCACCTAGTGAAGCAAAGCATGGGGACAGCTTCCCTGCTAATTGGGAAGCCGGGTGGCAAGTCTTTACGCGCCGCCCGGCTTATCAGGAAGCCAGGTGGCGAGTTATAACACGCCCCCTGGCTTCCTTAATGGGACTTCCGGTATCGGAATCGGTGCTCGTACTCAATACCGAAAAACCGGTATCGGTGCATCCATAGATTATTTTAATAGAAGCTGCAGATTTTATATTTCAATTTTCAATATTGAAAATGAGTCCTAAAAAATGGCATCAATATGTTTTTTTAATGAGATTTTAGTGATTGGTTTTCCATATACTTAAATGAAGTTATTTTTACCTAAGCCCAAGCTGTCATAGATATCACTGGAACCAGTTCTGTAATAAACAACGTGATATATGGCGGCGGAGGCCGAGGCTCAGCAAAGGCATAAACCAACTCGGGGAAATTTATACCAGGCACGCTGTCATCCAAATATATCTCCATCCCAAAACACACAGCTACAGATGATGATAATTAAATGAAATTGGAAAAAGCTAATTTCTCAGTGCAGGCCGCTATCGTATATTATCAGATTCATAATTCAAGTGGAATATTGCAAGGCTGTAAACTTGCATTCTGTAGCCGAGGAAAGGAAATAGATAATTATACAGCTGCTCAAGGCAACAAGTGCAATCGATGAACAGCTAATGGTACTCAAGAAACAAACTTCTGAAATCCAAAATGTTAACCTGATGTGATCAACAGAGCTGCCAACTTGTTAGTTTGACTGCAGAGCCCCAAAAGCCCCACATTGTGATGAACGATAGGGAAGGGTGTTGAGGGAGCAGGGGAGAGGTGGAGGCAAGTTAGCACTCCGAGCAACCTTGAATTTACCTTTTGCAATGACAAGCATCCCACGTTATGGGGGTCTTAAAGCCCATCTCCGGGCAAAAAAGAAAAAAAGTAGGGGCTACCCTAACATTGCAATAGTAAGTGCTTGGTTTAGGTCTAGGACAGGGGTGCCCACAATTTTTTGTCTTGAGATCTACTTTTCAAATGACGAGCTCAATGAGATCTACCAACGAAAAAACACCTTTATTTAAAAAAACAAGCACATTAAAATCGTTACTGGGATTACTGCCTCTCTATCTCGCGCTCTCTCTCTCCCGGCTCTTTCCCCTGTGTATCTCCCTCTCTGCTTTCTCTTCCCTCTCTGCTGTCTCTTCCCTCTCTGCTGTCTCTTCCCTCTCTGCTGTCTCTTCCCTCTCTCTCTGCCGTCTCTACCCGCTCTCTCCGCCGTCTCTACCCGCTCTCTCCGCCGTCTCTACCCGCTCTCTCCGCCGTCTCTACCCGCTCTCTCCGCCGTCTCTTCTCGCTCTCTCCGCCGTCTCTTCTCGCTCTCTCCGCCGTCTCTACCCGCTCTCTCTGCCGTCTCTACCCGCTCTCTCTGCTGTCTCTTCTCGCTCTCTCTCTGCCTTCTCTTTGCCTTCTCTTCTCTCTCTCTCTGCCTTCTCTTCTCTTTCTGCCTTCTCTTCTCTCTCTCTCTCTGCCTTCTCTTCTCTCTCTTCCTTACCTGGTCTCCTCTCATGTGCACTGTCCTGTCCTCCTGTGGTGCTCGTGCGGCAGAATGTGGTTGACGCTGCAGACGGGGAGAGGTGTCCCGCCCCTTCCCATCTGCAGCGTCTTGATACATTGAGCCGCACTAGCACCGAGGGAGGGACAGTGAGCCGATACCGATCTACCAGTATTTGCTTTGCGATCGACTGATAGATCGCCATAGCCCTAATGGGCACCCCTGGTCTAGGGGCTGTAGTAAGGGCTGATCAGGAGGGGGTCCATGCACTGATCCTCTCCTGATCAGAGCAGTACTGAGCAGATGTCACCGATGTGACACCCGTGCCCATACAGTTTTATCCTCCATCTTGCATCAAACTGCAATTACCGGACCCCATGTCAGTCCATGTTGAATCGGAAGTAAACGGACATGTGTCCATTTACATCATATTACCCCCATATGGCACGATCAGCTCTTGCGAAATGGATCTCTGACCCGTTTTTCTGGGCCGACTGGAGATGGGTTTTGAACTGGATATGTCTATCTCAAACCACTTCCTGTTTCAGACAACAAAGTAGCCATACGTTATAATGAGCTCATCATTAGTACACTGCCCTCCCCCTATTATCTTCCCTTGGTTGCAGGAAATTGGTCTTGCCCGCTGTGAAGGTTTGTTGGGGGAAAAAAAATGCTATACTCACCAACTCAACAACCCAGCACTGCTCCACCACCTCTGCTGCTGCTGATGGCCAGTGCTATTACAGGTTGAATGAAACCCAGCATCAATCAATCACTTCCTGTGAGCCCAGGACGTCATGGACACACACACCCGGAGGCGATTCATCATGCTGGTCTGGGCTCACAATACAATGTCACAGCGGGAAGCAGTCACATGTCACAGCATGAGCACCATTCTATCCACCTACCGTCACCACAGAATGGGACCCTATCCGTCACATGACCAGTTGGAGTTCTGCTAGAATATAGGTATGCATGCTGGAATTTTTCAATGTAAGGGGTGGAGAGGGAGCTTTAGTGGAATGAAAGTTGGAATTAGGCTTTTGACACACAAAGAAAAGGTAAATAAATGTAATAAGATTAAACATACCATCAGAAGAAGGAGGGGTCGTACCCAGAGGAGTTGTTGGTGTAGTAGGTATCGGGCTGATGGGTACCGTAACCAACCCCATCTCAGGATGACTCTAAACAAAAGGAGAAAGAAAATGAAGTGTAAGGGATTGAAAACATTATTTCCACACAGCTGCAAAATACATGAATTCTTTCACCTGCTAAAGAAATTCAATTCTGTTCAGCTACTGTTATGATTCACCCTGATGCAATGCATGGTGGGATGGCGTACATGGGACCACTATACACTATTGAAGTTGCCTGGCAAGTGCACTGTGCCATCCTTGTCCTGTAAGCTGATAAATACCTCTCCCCTTCCAGACCCATGATGCAGGAATGATGCATGTTCAGCCCACTGCCTCTGAAACCAGGTCATCCTGGACTTGCCCCCAGCCTGTGACTGGACAGTGAAAGGAGAAGCAGTACAGTGATAAGCTCATCTTTCTGTCACTCTGCTATCCTATCATCATGCTTCTTGTCAGCACATGAACTGATTGGCTCCTGGTATGGTTCTACCTCTCACACTCCAGCCCTGCTGTGAAGGGACTGTAAGAGTCTGATACCAGGTCAAATTCAGTACTTACACTGCTTTGGGTGCAAAAATGGAAAAAAGGGCCTCAGTCATGAAGGGGTTAATGATGTATTAATGAGTACAGAGCTGTAAGAGAACTATGGGGTAACCTTTTTCCCCCATAGTTCTCTTTAGGGTCACGGGACGACATATACGAACGTCCTTCAGTGACCCAAAGCTCAGTTTATAGCAGGCTATTGCCCACTATATACTGAGAGCACCGCAGCCGGGACGGATCCCAACAATTCTGTTGAGGTCCACCCAGCTGGCTGGCTGATTGACAGCGGGCTCTGTCTATCTAGAGGCAGAGCCAGCTGTGCCCACCCTCTCCCCTGTCCATTCCATTAGTCAGCAATGGAGGATATGTGGGGGGGGGAGGAAATCGCTGTCAGTCACCTCTCTCTGCAGGGAGATGATCGAGAAGTGAGCGAGTGACGGTATGTGCCCGCTCACTTCCCAATCAATAGAGTCGACATGTCACAGCTTCAATGTCACACGTCGGCTAAAACTATGGGGATGAGTGTAAACCATTCATCTCCATAGTTCTCCTTTAATTTGTGTCTTTTCAATCTGTCTGGACTTCAGCCTTAAACAAAATTGCATTTACTTCTCTACAGTGTCAGTAAAACAATGAATAGAGCGAAGAGGACACAGCAACCGATTTATCTGAAATATTTGTTTTGTTGCACATTGGCCTATATGACTTTTCATTTATAAGGAAATGACACGGCAAGCTAGTGGCAATGCCGATGTGACAAATGGGAGATGGAATTGTGAAAAAAGATGTCATCAAAAAAGTACAAAAATAAAATAGATTAGACAAAAGAAGAGAAAGTAGGATCCACGGACCTGCGCCAGCACAGTGATAAAGTTCCTGTTCAGATGCACGGCTTCGTAAAGAGCCAGTAAAATAGCCTCGTTAGTTCTGTAAACACATAAAACACCACATTAAAAAGACATAAAACATGGAACAGTATAGCCAGCATGGGATGGGGTCTTATATCGTATCTCTGGTAAAATCAACTTGCTAAACTGACAGCATTCTGCAAATATCTTCAAGATGAATGCCAGGAAAAATCTAGATTTACTTACCTGATCCATGACCCTGCCAGGCTGCTAGACCGCTTCTTGCAGCCTCTGCCCCCCAGGCCCTGGCGGTCTAAGAACTGCTGACATTATCACATCTTATGCAGGTCCACTGTCTTTCGTCTTCTGGTCGGGAAAGATGGGTAGCACAGGGAGCACGCACTGTAGCAGTCACATGATCACTCACGTCAACAGTGGTTTGTCCCTTAGCCCGCTGATAGCACTGCACATGCACGCTCCTGTGCCAGGCATGCCCACGCCAGGTTTACCCAGCACATAGTGCCCTAATCTGCTTTTTTAGAGCCCCTAGACAAAACAAGTACTTAACCCTTGCAGTGTAGGGGTAGCCCGACTGCATGGGTACATTTTTAATTTTCCCGGAGTTGGTCTTTAAGGGCAAGTTCACACTATCGCATTTTGGATGGCACCCCAATGCACCTTCCCAAAAAGGGTCAGATATGGTTTGGCCATCCTGGGGTCCATTGGTGGCTTATTCAAAAGGCTGCTGGAATGTGACACGTTACCATCTGAGAATGGGGCCTCTGAATGACTCTGCATGCAGACATGTTGAATCCAGGGATGATGTTTCTGCAGAGTTTTTGGCTGCAGCTCATTGGCCAGTGTGTATACAGCCATAGCATAGAATCCGCCCTAGGTCATCCATCTGGTCAGGTTTCCTGGCCTAAAGAAGCAGCATGACCTCACCCATCTGATCTCTCTTCCTATCAGCATATTTCCTTGTCATCAATAGTGGTTATGGCACAACTGATTGGCTCCCAGTGCTGCCCCTCTCTCCACCAATCTGCATCCTGCCGCACAGCGTATTACGGAGGGGCCAATATCAAGCACTCACACAAGTTGCCTTTAAAATACAATATTTATGGCTAATGAAAAAACATATTGATTAGCATTTGTTTTATTTTTGCCTTCAGCTTAGTAAAGCAAATGACAGTATCTATAACAGAGCCTCTAGAACAAGGGCGGGCAAACTTCGGCCCTCCAGCTGTAGTGAAACTACAAATCCCAGTATGCATCTGCCTTTGGGAGTCATGCCTGTGACTGTCAGAGTCTTGCAATGCCTAATAGGATTTGTAGTTTCACCACAGCTGGATTTTCAAAGTGTGCCTACCCTGCTCTAGCTTCAAAACTGGAAGTCCTACAGTCAGGGGTCTGTAAGCAGCAAGGCATGCTGGATAAAATAACTCACCAGCACTTGTAGAGTCACTTCCTTGCAGCTGAGAAACTTTGCATTCAGAAAGCGGCAACCCAGTGCTTTTTTATGGATTGCAAATTTGCTTTCCCCATTTAAAGCATATGCAAAGCATTTGTTTGTTTGCTTTTTAATTAACACTTTAATTTTGTGAAAATAAAACACACAGTCATGATAGAAATGTACTTACTGAATGGAGATCTTGTCATCGGCGTCTGCTATGAACATACTGCCCACCTGTGGAAGGAAGAAGCAGCGCAGTCTTATTCACAAGCTCAACGCACGTAAGAGATACAAGGGAAGTGCTATCCAGTCTGGCACACGAGCAGTGCTAACCTGGCAGATTTACCATTAGATCACAGCACAAGCCAAGCTGAACCCGATACAGACAATGGGAGAGCATTTCACAGTTGGCAGGAATGTGGTCTATAACTGTTGGATGTGCTTCTGCACCAATCTCAAAACAACATCAATACATGAAATCCAATTACCATGTTGGTCAGGGCAGAGAAGAAGCCTGTCTGGTGTTCTTCCTCCTTGTCCCGGTAATGCCTA